GAAGAAAAGCTTTAGATCCTGCAAAAAAAAAAAATGTGAAAAAAAAAAAAAAAAAAAAACTTTACAGAAAATCTGCATAAAACAAAAGGAAAAGAGAAGGTCGACAAACTAAGACTGCAATGTTGCAGTGCTGGCAGATGAGTGAAAGCAAATGTGGAAATGAAATATCCCCATAGCAATGACAGCCATCTCAGAAATGGGGAAGCTCACGTTTCATGTACACTCAATGGACATTTATAACCAGGGATCTGTGAGTTTGGCTATAATTCAGAAAGCAGCAGATGACTTGACGTGTCATTTGACAAGGGATTTTAAGAGCACATAGTATACTTACAATAATCATGCTTTACATTTAAATAATGCTTTAAGCTTATCATCACATTTCTGGTAAGCATTATCTTATCTGAATTTGAAACTTGAGATCATTTACCTACCTTACAGTCTTTGTGGAAAAGTGCCTGACATTTAATCTCTGAGCTTTTGGTTTATTTGTCTGTGAAATGGGGTCCTATCACGTTTTTATTGCCCAGGACTGTTTCATGAGACAAATATGACTAGATGAAAGCCTTTTAAAAAAAGTAAATTGTGGCCAGGCATGGTGGCTCATGCCTCTAATCCCAGCACTTTGGGAGGCTAAGTGGATCACTTGGGGTCAGGAGTTCGAGACTAGCCTGACCGATATGGTGAAACCCCATCTTTACTAAAAATACAAAAAATTAGCCCAGCATGGTGGCACACACTTGTAATCCCAGCTTCTGGGGAGGCTGAGGGGAGAATTGTTTGAATCTGGGAGGTGGAGGTTGCAGTGAGTGGAGATCCTGCCATTGCACTCCAGCCTGGGTAACAGAGCAAGACTTTGTTTCAAAACAAACAAAAATGTAAAATGTAATCAGAATGTGTTGTTATTTTTATTATTACTAGATACTAATACTGAGACCAGTGAGATTTTCAAGTTAGGAGGGTATATACAGAAATGGGATGACCCTCAATTCTTTTTGCTTAAAACCAGTTTTCCATGGTAGATAATGTGGGTAAACTTTAAAAAACTAATCTACCTATATGGGATTTTTTTTTTTTAGAGAAATCTATAGGAATTAAAACTGAGGCAGAATTTCAGACTTTGAGAAACATGAATCTTATTAGGAGACTGAGAAGAAAAAATAATAAAACTATTTGGACTCCAAATTTTGTGGCCTGATAAGCCACGCCCTTCCCACTGCACAAAAAGCTCCGTGGAGGCATTTAGAATACAGAAAAATGGCTATAAATAAAAAAAAAAAAAAAAAAAAAAAAAAAAAAAAAAAAAAAAAAAAAAAAAAAAAAAAAAAAAAGAAAGAAAGAAAAGAGAGAGAGAGAGGAAAAAAAGATACTTCTGCAAGATGGGATGCATTGCATTACTGTTGCACTTGGTGGCATAAATAAATTATCATACAATTAATTGTGATTCATTGTATAAATAAAGCATCATAGCAGAATAGCTATTATTATATATAGCTTTTGCCTGCACAATTTTAATAAATGTGGCAGATACTAAGAAACTCTGATCTATTCCCCCTCTTCAGTACTCAAACAAGGAGGAAATCACACCTAAATGAGGTTTTAAAAAGTGTTTAGGGCGGGTGCCGTGGCTCACGCCTGTAATCCAAGCACTTTGGAGGCCAAGGCAGGCGGATCACCTGAGGTCAGGAGTTCAAGACCAGCCTGACCAACATGGTGAAAGCCCGTCTTTAAAAAAAAAAAAAAAGTGTTTAAGCCACCAAAATTATTTTAAAATGTAACAGAAACATGGAAACCATCTATTGGTGGATAATGTTGAGTGAGAAAAAGACTTCTTTTAAAAGAATATTATAAATTTAGATATTATATATTCCTTAAAAAGAATATTTATATAATACCTAAAAAACTCTTTTTGAATATTTTAGATATTTAAAATATTTAGATATTTTAGAATTTTCATCATATTATTGATTTCTATCTACCTTTTTTTCTCTCTCTTATTTCTTAAGATTCCCTGTAATGAGGTTAAACTGGGCAATAAAAACAGAAAGGATATGTACATAAACACATTTTTCAAGCAACAGATGAATTTGCATGTCACAAATTAGCAACCATATCAAAGGACAGCCATTTGATCTGCATTTTCAGTGGTAGAGATGTAGGGATGTCTTGTTTTATTTTTTGGGACTAGAAAGTTAGTAAAAAGTCTTGTCCTACATGTGAGTAAGTTCTCATCCTTCCTCCTCTCCCCATCCCCAATCAATAATTCAGGTCCAGAAGAGGAACCTCTGGTCACCTCTGCAAAAGGAAGCCTGATGGAAAACTGTAGCCTGGTTTGGCAAACTGCACTGGTCCAGTTTCAGCTAGTAGCTAACACTGGCTACGGTAGTTAAGGCTTATGCTAGACATGGCCCAGAGTTTATCAGCCCTTCTTCTGGACTATGCTGCCTCCAAAGGTGTTTGGCCACCAGCACCTAGTAACAAAGCCAGGACAAGGTGCAAGGTGACCCCAGCAAATCTCCTTTTGTTAAGGTTAATTTTTACTTCTGGTGGCAAAATAAAGGGAGACAAAGGAAACTTACAATATTCTTAAGACCTTGTCCCAGACATGGACAGTTTGCTGCAGTATTGATGACTGCACTATCTATGGTATAAGTCTTCAGTCCTCATGTAAATAGAGACTTACACCATCCACCCCCATCCCCAGGAAGAATAAAGACCCAAATCATGGAGCAAAAGCATCCCTTAGTGGAGATCTGCTAGGAAAGCTTCATTTCACAAAGGAGGCAACTGAGGCCCCACATGTAAGGTACACCACCAATTTGATAATTAGGGGTCAGGTGCACACTGTCACTTGGATCTCCTGTCTGTACTCACTTGTGTCCTCCCACCCCCAATTTATAGGTTTGCTTCCCAGACCTCTGCTTAGAATATTGAAATGGGTCTGTTATAGCAAAATCAGTTGTCTGCAGGGAAACCAGTGCATTGTTGTTTAATGTTTGGTGGCTTTAGTGTAGTTGGGACATTTGAAATTTAAAACAACTTCCATGTTATATGTTTTTGGGTAAGTGATAATGTCATGATCTCCCTGGATGGGCATATATAAAATGATCCTCACATTTAAAATTGTGATTTATGAGAGCCACATCACAATAGCACACAGTTATATGCCAATAATGCCATTAATAAAACCATCACATGTTCTAACATACTTAACAAATGTAGCACAGCCTTAAAAACTGTGATCTTGAAATCCCTTAAAACGTCTTAGAGAATAAAATGTAAAAATTAAGCTTGTCAAGTTTGTTTGGAAGTTTTCATTTAAAGGACATATTTAGACCATTGCTAATTGCTGCTTTGATTAAACATGGAAAAATATTTAATGCCCCGGATTTGAAGTTAAGAAGTCTTGGAGGGCTGGGGGAAGGGCAGGGAACTGGGAATGACCAGGGAAAGACTGAGAGATACAGGAAACGGTGTTGCTGTTGGGTGAGGGGGATCCTGGAGAGGGGAGAGAACCGAATGTGAGCAGAGGAGGAGGGGGAAGGTAGAAGGCCACCAAAATACCCTCCTGGTGAGAATATCATGATTTTAACTTCTGTAATCAGAAGACCTTTATATTTTTTTGTAACCAGAGCCAATTTGCAGAAGACCTTACCTTCGACAAGCCTCTTTGCCCCCAGCTAAGGCTGCTTGAAAAAATGCACATGTAAACATTTACATGTTTCACAAGTCATATTCACGGTTTTTGCCATACTTTGTCCACATACTTAAAATACACTCAGAGCATTTTTTGAAAATTTTTATTTCTGTTGCATTTCAAATACAAAGACGACATTCCACTCCTAACACATAACCCTCATCTTTTTAAACCAAGCCCCTCCTACTGTACTTTTAGCAAAAATGATTGGCTTACCTCCGGCTCTTCGCTAGGAAAAAAATTAGTTCATATTTTTTAAGCACAGCCACGCCCACCCCCTTGGAACCAGCCCCCGCGTGGTTTGGGATCCAGACTTATCTACAGCAGGTTAGGTATTTCCCCTCTCCCCCATCCCCCCACCAGGTGAGCTGAATATGTGCAGAATACTGAACTGATGTGTGCAACCCCGGGCGCCCCAGATACCTGTGTGTCTGGTTTTTCAACTGTAAAGGCGGGAGGGTTTGGCGAACGAATGAGAAGTGAGGAAACGCTTAGCGCAAAGGGAAAAAGAGAAAAAGATATACAGGAACAAGGTTACGGAGGCCGGCGAATAGCGACCCCCCTACTCCCCCAGGCCAGGAGCCCTGCTTATTTCCCGGGAGGTCCCGCCACCTTCCCCGCGCGTCCTCCGCACGGCTCACCGCAGATCGCCCAGGCGCAGGTACCACCAGAGTGTGCAGACACCGAAAGTTTTTTTGCTCGCGCCATGGCGCAAACCACAAGACAGCCCGTTCCCAAGTACAAGTACACAGTCGGCGGGTAATTTGGGGGTGCCGGGATAGGAACAGGGGACATTTGAGCGTATCATGCACAGGCGAACACAGAATATGGACACCAACACACATCAACGACAAGCTGTCAAGAGTCCAAGCAGCCGTGCCAGGCGAGGCGGGGGCGCGCCTTCCCCAATGACTCCAGCCCACCATGGCCCGCACCAGCCTAGCCAGGGGAGCCCCGGGGCCCCTCCCAGGCAATCCTGGCTCACCTGAGGCCCCTGCCTGCTCTCCAGCTTACGGTTGCTGGCGCTGGCCTGTCCAGCCGGAAACGACCCTCAGTGTCGCTCGGCACCACTTTTCTCCCTGGAGGGCATATACTTCGGCCACCCGAACCCACCCAAGATCCCCTCCCGCTCCCAGGGCAAAGTTAGGGTCCCTCCCTGGAACTTTCTAGCAGGCTCTTCCTGCCTTTAGCTGAACCCCCTCCTCCCACTGCCGAGCCCCGCGCGTCCCACCGGGCAGCCCTGCCACCCCCTCCCCAGTTCCCTGGCGGCCCTGCTGCCGGCAGGCAGAGTCCGCCGCATTACCTAGAAGCAGCAGGCGGTGCGTACACATGTAGCCCATCTTTTCGTCCTGGAGTTGCTTGTCGATGAGCTTGCTGCGTTTCTTCTCTGCACGCTTCTGGGCCCGCTTCTCCAGGGCTTCTTTGCGCATCTGTCTGCGCTTCTCCGCCAGGGGTACCTTCTTGACCTTGGAGGAGTGTGAAGCTTTGGGCTCGGGACTCTCAGATCGACCGAAGCAGCCCCCGAAGGCTTGCATGAGGAAGTTGCGGAGTAAGTTGCGCTGGGGCTTTCGGCGGCGGCGATTTCGCCGATGCTGAAACCAGCGGATGCATCCGAAGGTCCCATCGTCGGACTCGTCTCCGCTGGAGTCATCGTCGCTGCTGGCCGCCCCTTCATCGTAGTACACGCTGCGGCCGCGGCCGCGCTCGGACTTGCCCCGCCAGGCAGACGCGCGAGTAGGCCGTGGAGTAGGCGGATCGGCAGCCTGGATTTCGGGGCTGGGGGGTCTAAGGAGATGGAGCTTGCGTCTGGCCCCGGAGGCAGGGGCTGCAGAGGCTGCCCGGGCTGCTGGGGCTGCCCGGGCGGCAGGAGCGGCTGGGGCAGCTGGGGCCCCTGCGTCAGGCGCAGCTGGGGCGACAGGGGCTGCCCCGGTCTCAGCAGCCGCAGGGGCGCCGGGAGCGTCAGGGGCTGCCCGGGCGTCAGGATCGGCTGGGGCGTCAGGGGCTGCCCTGGCACCTGGATCGGCTGGGGCGTCAGGGGCTGCCCGGGCGTCAGGATCGGCTGGGGCGGCTGCGGCTGCCCCGGCATCTGGATCGGCTGGGGCGTCAGGGGCTGCCCCGGAGTCGGAATCGGCTTGGGCGGCAGCGGCTGCCCCAGAGTCGGGATCGGCTGGGGCTGCCCGGGAGTCGGGATCGGCTGGGGCTGCCCTGGAGTCGGGATCGGCTGGGGCTGCCCGGGAGTCGGGACCGGCTGGGGCTGTCCCGGAGTCGGGATCGGCTGGGGCTGCCCGGGAGTCGGGATCGGCTGGGGCTGCAGGGGCCGCCCCGGCTGCGGGATCCGCTGAGGCTGCCCCGGCGGCAGGGGATCTGTCCCCCGGAGAGGGGACTTTTCCTCCCTCCATGGTGTCGGTGGCTGTGCCTCCTTCCATCTCGGCTGCTTCCTCCTCAACTGGGGGTCTCTCTGCTCGCTCTCTCTTATCTGGGGCTCCGGAGACCTTGATGGGCGGGCCGTCAAGCGCGATTGGGGGGCTGTCCATGTTGACGGGAGCGTCGTCGACCCCAGCGGGGGCGCTGCCAATCTCAAGCGGAGGTCCGGAGATCTCCATCGGGGGGCTGCTGCCGGTGAAGTTAGGAGGTCTGACAGCCTCTCGGGATGGGCTGCCGATGGTGCCTGGGACCCAGAGGGGAGGCGCGTTCGCGGCGGGAGTGAGGCGGACCGCACTCGAGACCGCGACTGCCGCAAACTGGCCACCGCCGCCGTCGACTTGTGCGATGACTCTGGAAAGCCCCGGGGGTGGGCTGTCTTCCCCAAAGCCTTCTCCATCAAGCTCAAATGGCATAGTCTCCTCAGGGGGAGGGCTATAGCCTCCTCTGGAGCCAGGCTTTGCAGGCTTGAGGGCTTGGGGCTCCTCGGGAGGAGCTCCGGGGACCCCTGCAGCACCTGGGCCTCCTGGAGCAAGGTCTGGGACCTGTAAGAGAGGTTGACTGCAGCCTCTCTGGGCAGGCTGGTCAAACTCAAAGGGCATAGCTTCTTCTGGTGGAGGGCTGTATCCTCCGACGACTGGTCTGCCACCACCGAAGGCTCCGGGCTCCATGAGTGCTGAGCCGAGGGCCTCAAGGCCTGCATGGGCCCCACTGGGGGATCCAGGCTGCTCCAGTGTGGGCCAGAAGCTTCCCAAGCCGGGCTGTTCGACCTCGAAGGGCATGGCTTCCTCGGGAGGTGGGCTGTAGCTTCCTTGGGCTCCAGCTTCCTTGAAGGGCGGATTGAGAACCTGAAAGTTGGGCCTGGAGACCACTGGGGTTCCACAGGCCTCGCCGTCATTCTCGATGGGGATGGGCTCGCTGTAAGGCGGTTCGGTCTCCATCTCTTCGGCTGGGCTAGGCCCAGCACCGGGGGCAGCTGCCCCTGGGGCCTCCAAGGGTGGTTGCTCGGGCTGTTCCCCGATTTCAGGGGAGATATCGTGTTGTCCTGACATATTATTGCCGTCGAGGCAGTTGCGCATGCCCATAACACGGTGGCGGCTTCTTAAAATAAGTTTGGGGCTCCGTAGGACGGAGCACCCAACCGAACTAGGGTGAAAAAAAAATTTTAGAAAAAAATCAAAGTACCAGCTGGAAAGTTCTCCAGCCTCACTTTCCAACCCTTGTGAGGTTGGGGGTTCAGGACCTGGAACCCTAGACCGAGGCTGGAGCAACTCAATTGTTGCTGGTGGAGTCTGGGCTCCTTCCTGGCCACTTTTTATCCCCTCAGGCTGCACCCCCAGCCCCCCTTCCTTGGTCTGTCCTTATACCCTCCTCTCTCTTTCTTTCTGCTCCAGGCCAGTCCCGCCTGCTTGGATCTGACGAGCGTGCCGATTCGGTCCGAAAATCGCCAGTAGCGCTCTCTCTCTGCCACCAGAGGACGCCGGTTCCAGTGCCAAGCTGGCTCCGGCTCCAGGAGCCTGCTCCCGGCACCAGCAGCCCAGGACTTTGGGTAAGGGGGCTGATGAGCGCAGGCCTCGCAGGGATGTTTTGGCTCCTTCCACTCCTCTCCCCGACTGATTTGGAGTCTTTCTCCTCGCTTCTCCCCTGTCCAGAGAAAGATCTCCTGCGTTGCGGGACACGTGACGCAAGACGTGGGCCTCGGGACGCTGGAGTACAGGAGCTGAAACCCTCCCTCCCCAACCCAACAGGCTCCTCGGGGGAGGGGGGACTGAAGAAGGATTTCATCACCCTAGAATACCCCCGAACCCCTGAGTCATAGCCCCCAGCCTTCAGGCAGCCCTGGATCTCAAGTCCCTGGTCCATAGCGCAAGACTTTTGGTGCTTGGGAAGGGGGCGCAGGTGCGCGCGTGGATGCGACAGGTGGTCGTGGGCCCACCAGAGAAGCAGAGAGAGGCGAGGGCGAGGGGATGCCGAGTGTGCGAGCACACAATTTGTTTTTTAAATGCCTTGGGTGTACTTTTTGCTGCTTTTGCTTGTCGCTTGTTGAGTTTGGCTCCGGTAAAGCACTTTAAGAGCCCCCATCCCCATCACACTCTAGGGGTCTCTGTAGTAGCCTATAGCGGCACAGGCAGGGTGCTCCGCCGTTTATGTGGATGGTGACGCAGGGAAATAAGAGGGTCTCAGGTGCGCACCGCCGAGAGCAAAGACCCCTAGGCAGTAGCTGCGGTGGTAACGATGGAGGGGTGGGGGGCGTGCTGCTCACAGGGGGACCCCACAAAGCGGTCTCAGAGTTTCACAGGTCCTACTGTTCTAGGGAAGGATTAAAGGGGATTTCGGTTGCCGTTTATGGCCGGTTTGGGGTGGTTTCGGAGACTGGACTGTGCCGTGCGCACTGAACCCACTGGTAAACACCGTGCCGCGCGGCAACCACAGCCGAGGTACGTGGCTCGCTGCTTCAGGCGCCCGCCGCAGAGCCGGTCAGTCCGCTTCTTTAGCCCCACTACAGCCTGTCTCCAGCACCCTTCCAGCCCCTCTCCTCTCGCTATGGGTATCTTAGTGTAGCCACTTCACTGCTAGAGCCCGCGGAGGCGGCACTGAGCCCGCCATCCAGCCACAAACCCGGCGGTTGCCAGCGCAGCTGCGCTCCCGCTACCGTGCTGCGGTGGGCTGAGAGCCAGTGGAATGTAAATACCCACATCACCTGGTGGCCTTGGTGTGTGCACATGCTGTGTTCTGGTCTGGGGTCTGCAGAGAGATTTGAGCCCGTGAGAAAAGCTGTTGCTAGGGGGTCACGTAAAACCCGGCAGGCGCGTATCAGGTTGGTCTCAACAGTGATTGACAGATTGGTGAGCCACGTTTAGGCACAGAGCAGCTGGGTAGGGGGTCGCCTGGTCTGCAGAACCCTGGGGGAGAAGAGGCTGGATGAGTGTTACACGGGGCGGGCTGCAGCAAGCAGGGCGCAGGGCACAGGGCGCATGGCGCGGGCCGCTGTGTACCAGCCGCAGGCCGGCGAACCGCCGCACGAGGCTATCCTGTTTAATCTAACACATCCATCTTAGAGCCAGGGTACCACAGGCACCGCGCATCCTTGACCCCCTGCATCCACCATCCTCGTGGCGGCCGGGCAGCACGGAGGGAGGCGAGCACAGTCGGACCCTGGGAAACGTTTGGGGTCCCCCAAAGACGTATCGCTTTAGCTCTGTGGGTCTACACACTTGCAGATGTCAACACTGAACTTTGGTTCAAACTTTGGCCAACTACCCCTACGCAAAACGGCTTAACCACTTGGACATCCACTGAATGGCCCAACTGGGTCCAAACACCAACTCACTCCCCTCCGACCCCAGCGCCGGGTCAGCCATTGGGCCGGGGTCATGCCAATCAAGGCTTCCTGGCGAATGAGAAGGGGGCGTCAGACCGGAAACCGGATATGGGTGGGAGGTCCTATAGGGGGCGCCGCGTTGGAACGCCCAAAGAGGTTGTGCTGATGAGGTGGTTGGAAGCGGTTGGTGGGTGGGTATATGGCGGCTAGGCCTGGAAGGCCACGAGGACTGCTAGCACCGTAGGGTCAGGCTTCCTCATGCCACAGGTCGCCGAGGCTTGGGGGAGAGATCGGGGTCCCAGGGGCGAACCCTTGGGCGCATTGATGGCGGCAGGCTAACCTAGCCAACAGGGTGCCGCTGCCGGGCGAGGCGAGGAGCAAGAAGATTTCCAGGGCTGGGAGGTAGAGGGCCAGGACCCCGAGGAAAGGGCTTACTGCGAGGAGCAACCCAGGATGGATAAGGAGTTGAGGCCCCAGGGATGCTGAGCCTGCACGAGTGGAAGGTCAGTAGACATTGGGGTTGGAGCCCCAGGGAGGCTGCGATGGGTGCTCTGAAGGGACGATTTGCTGTCGTCAGGCCTCGCGCTCATCCCCAAAGCACCATTTGTCAAGGAACGGGTTCAGGGTCTCCGTTTGATACCCTCATGCATCTGTGGGACTCCTTTGTTCATTCTTTCTGGTCTCATGATTCTTTGCCAGGGGAGCACATGCATCGAGATGATTAAAAAAAAAAGTTAGACAAATACCAATCCCTCATCCTAGGGGGTAGAGCAGCATAAAAATGAAAGAAAAGACCTCCACTTTGGGGGACCTTAAAAGTCTTGATGGAGAAAATGGCTTTTTATATGAGCCTCCAAGGAAGGATAGATGCCTTGTCTGAATAGAAGGTGGTAGTGGGGGATGGGAGACGTTTGCCCACCACGAACAAAGGATTTAATGGTAGGAAACATGGGGCGTGGCCGGGTAAACACAACTGGCCACCTTGGCTGGCTCTTGGGGAGCAGTGGGAGAAAAGGCAGGAGAAATTAGATCGAATCTCTCTGAGGATGCCATGGAGTATGAGGGCAAGCATATTTGAGGCTATTTTGGCAGGAAACGGGAGAGGATGCTGAAAGTTTGTTCTGCAAGTGAGGATTTGAGCCTACTTTTAGGAAAGGAAGAAGCAGCATGCAGGATGATCCTGATGGAGAGAGAACAAAGGAAAGGGGTTATGCACAAAGGAGATGTTTGAAGGAGAGACCTGGCACGGTGAAGGAAGCAGAAAGGCTGAAGGACGGCACTCAGGAGGGGTCCCAAAGGACCCTCCTGGATGTGGCACCCAGATGGATGGGACACTGGGAGTGGCAGGGAAGCCAGTGGGAGGGGCTGGCAAGGTGGCAGAGCCAATTTGGTTTTAGACATGGCAAAGTTGAAGGAAACTTGGGCAGTTGGGATGGAGATTTTGCGGCCCATTATTTGGGAGGAAAGGTCTGAAGTTTAGAAAAAGATAAAGATCATACATTCAAATTGGCAATCATCCTAATAAAGATGTGAAATCATGGAGTCAGATAAAACTCTCTAGGGGAGAAATAAATTTGGTAATAGAATCTTGAACAATTGGCACACTGGACAGGAAAAAGGGAGGCAGTCCAGGAGTGAGCAGGGAGAACTCAGAAGGGAGAGATGGGAGTACACCAGAGGAAGGGGTTTCAGAACTCAGCCCATCTAATCTATACTTGGTGTTTTAGCCCCTGCACTGGTGGCATTTGGGGCCAGGTAATTCTTTGTTGTGGTGACTGCCCTGTGCATCATAGGATGTGGTGCAGCATCCCTAGCCTCTACCCACTAGATGCCAGTAGCATCCCCTTAGCTTTAACAACCAAAATGTCTCCAGACTTTGCCAAATGTCCTCTGGGGAGCAAAATCACCCCCAGCTGAAAATCACCACTATAAGTGAAGAAAGGACCCTTAGATTTGAATAGGAATTGCCTTAATTTAAAGGTAAATTAAGACCAGGAAGAATAAATACCAGTATTTAACCCCAATATTCCCCCTTTTTTCCACTCTTGTTTATTTATCTGTAGTGACTGGCTACCAGACTCTGAAAAACCTAAGTCTTTTAGGTGAGTGGAGCTAAGAGCTGAGACATCAGCATGGGGTCAGGGACCCCAGAAGTGTGGCCAAATGTTTGAGGAGTTGACCCACTTGAAAGGCAGCCGGTGGTTTGGCCACAGGGACCTGAGGAATCCAGTATGGTAAGAGCTGGGTGTGACTGGCTAGTGGTTTACTGGGGGCAACCTTGTTTGGCCCCTGATTGGTTGGCTTGTGTGGTGATCCTCCTGAGGGCTGGTAATTTTGCTAGCTCAAGACAGAAACGTGGCCTTGACCTGGAGAGAGATGGCCAGTGCTGGATGTCAGTGGGCAGTGTCTTCTGGGGCCTAACCCGACCAGTGGTATTTTTAGGATCTGCCTTTATAACCTTATAGTAGCAAACCTTAAACATAGATTTCCAGCGCTGGATGGATTGCCATCATAGGAAGAGATAAATATGTGATAGGACTGAGGAAGAAAAGTCTATTCATGTGTTTATGCAGCTAAGGAAGAGGAAGTCAGGAGAGGTTGGTGCCTGAAAAAAAGGCTGAGTTGGGATGGACAGAAGCTGTGTGCCAGGGTCTTGACCCCTGTCCTGAGGGGCTGTGTGCTGAAGTGCAGGGCTGCCATGAGATAATGTGTCAAGTAGGGGAGGATAGGATTGACTGCTGAAACCCGGGGATGGCTTACTTGAAAATCGTGTATACTTGGCTACTTGAAAATAATAGTTTCTACATTTGATGTACTAAGAAAGGGATGGTAAAAAACTTCTCATGCTTCCATTAAACTGCATTTCTGAGGAGAGCCAAATGGCCCACGTGCCACAGGTGGCAAACAGTGGCTCTTTGAAAATATGGAACTCCAAATGGAACGAATGTATTTCTTTACTGCTGACTCTGAAGAGCACCATTACAGCCCCATTCCTTGGTAGCCCCATGTGGTGCCCTGGGCTTCCCAAACTTAGTCTCAGCTCTCTATTAATGATTTCATGGCACATTCAACAAGTGATTGTGCTTCTATTTACATTCTGGGATTCTTACTCATTACCAAAAGCACAAGGCACATCCCAAGTTTAGGTAGCTACCTGTCAGCTTTCTGGATTTATCCCTGTAGCCCACAAAGAGAAAGCAAAGTAGAGAGAGGGAGGGGAGGGAGGTGGGTGAAAGGGAAGGGAAGCAAAACCATGAAAAACAGTCTTTTTTTTGGTAGTCATTTTCCTTTTGGTCTTCGGCTTTGCAGGGATGTGGGTGGTGAAGCTTGCAGAAGCGCCTTCTCTGTAGCCTATTGTGTCATTACTTGTCAGTGGGTTTCTTTCAATTGAGGGAAAAGTAAAAGCAGAAAGAGAAGGTAGAAAAGAAGTTAGGCAACTGTGAAGTTTCTCAGCTTCCCAATGACAAATGTTTTCTGAGTGCTGACTGAGTAGTAATAAGACTTTGAAGCTGTTCAATTAATTACTTTTCAATCAAGACTTGCTGCTGCCATCCTTTTCCCTTCAGCCTCTCCTCTGCCCACCTTGGCCGGTGGAGGCAGCAGCATACTGCTATCTGCAGAAGGGTCTGCGTGGCCAGGCTGTTTGAGGCAAATCCCAGCTAAAGGAAAAAAGCCTCAAATGGATGAGGCAAGAAAGCGGGTTAGAGGCAGGTGCAAGGCTGATATTAGAGGTAGGGGAAACAGTCTTTATGAAAATACTTTAAAAGCCCCTATCGTGAATTCACACCCCTTCACTCAGCTAATTAGCTGTAGCTCAGCAGCCTTTTCAAAAGGCATACCAAATTCTGCTTCAGCCAAGGCATGCCAGTGTCATCTGACCACCTGTGCTTGAACAGTGGGTCCAGACATTTTCTCTGTAGTTGCCTGAGCTGGGCTGTGGATTCTTTCTCCAGCCTAGCTGATGATGCAGCAAAGAATTTCAGGGGAGAAGAGGTCATTCCAGAAAAGGCGAATTGCACCACGGGAAGGCGACTAAGAGAGGGGCAAAAGTGGGTGCTGGAGGAGGGAGAGGGAATCCCAGAAGGTAAATTTGGCTTTAATGGAAGCTCTGTTTAAAATTTCTGCAATTCATGGTGGAAATTCCAGCCACCCTGGGGGCTTTTGGGCATCATTGTTTGAATTTAAGGGGAATGGTATATTTCACCTTCTCGAACAACCTCAATTACCCAGAGCAAATTTTCCTAATGAAATCTAATTGAGACAGTGACATAAGCCAGGACACCCAGAAATCAGCTTCCACACGGAGTGAGGGGGTAAGAAATGTGGTCTTCTGCTGGCTGCCAGTCCTTGGCTTGTGCCCCTTGGACCCCCCCAAGTTTGAAAGTGGGGGCCTTGAAGACCAACCTTGCTGTGAACCAAAACACAAGGCTTAGCCTTGGAGCTAGATGGCTAGATTTCTAGGTGTTAAATCTTTCTGTTTGAGTGTAGCAATTGAAGTACTTGCATGAAAACTCCACACCTGTGAAATTGGAATTTTTGGGACAGGTCTGTAAGAAACTCTCAGGGGACAGTGAGGTAAACAGTATCGAATCTGTGAGCCTCATTAGTTGCCCTCCAGTGCCACATCCGGCTGTTAAAAATGTCCTTCCTAATGCTGAGCTGATGTCTGTCCCTTGCTGCACCTTGTTCTAGCCCCCTCAGCCACCAGATACTTGAAACTGCCCACAACTTTTTTCTCTTCAAGACTCTATTCCTTCAAACAACTTTATAACCCCCACATTTCCTGGCTTTCTGACCCCCTACCCCATTTCTAAATCTTCTTTTCTGCCCCTTCCCAGGGGTTCTTTTTTCTGCCCACATCTTCCTTTTTTCTGTGATCCCTCAAATTCTTTTCCTTTTGTCTTCTTTAAATCTCTTCCCACTACTGCTACCACTAACCCTCTGTCCAGGCAGCCCGGGCTTATGTTGGCGTTTCTCATAGCCATGTGCCCCTGCTAATTTGTAACATGCTTACTCTAAAATAAACCCACAGAACAAACACACAGGCTATGCCCAGTGGGAGCGGGGAAGGCAGCTTCCTCATTTCTACCCGGGAATAGTTGCAGGCAGAGCCCTGCCTCTGCTGGCTGAGCGCTGTCAACAGGTGACGGCGGCTCCTCATCGTCGGCTCTGGGCCTTAGGAGAACTAAGTCACTAGGCTGTTTATTCTGGCTTCTTTGCCCTGTGAATTAACTGGCCACTAGTGCTTGGACCAGCATAGCTATTGGAGGCTTTTTAAAAAATTCATGAGATTTTTAAACAAGGGGAAAAAACAAATAGCAGTAAAAAAATCCCCCCCCCCACATGTGGCCTTTTGATATGTAAGAAAACAAGAAACTATAAAACAAAAATGGGTGCTAAATCATTTAATTTGACAGAACCAGATTTTGTTTTGTTTTGTTTTTGAAATATTTGCTTTGTTTATCCCATGCATCTGTGATGGAGGCAAAAAAATTTTTTTTTTTTTGAGGGGATGTCAGTGTGCAAAAATGTCTTAGCTGTGACAAGGTCCTGCAGTACATAAATATAATATATATTTATATGGCCATGGTATTAAAATGTCATGGGGAGGGGCAAATAAGAAATACGTGTCTAAAGAAGCCAAGAGGGGAGTGATCACGAAAAAAGCAAAGGTTGAGAAAACTGGTTTATCTCAAATACCTGTAGCTTCTGTCCCATTTTTTCAGGTTTAGCTTAACCAGAACACTTAAAACTGTTACCAAACAACATTCACCAACACTTGTGGTTACTTAACCAATGTCCTCATCAGCCTGCTGTCTTCCACAGCAGTTATCCTCTTTGAGTTGCAGTACTAGGTCAGTACTTGCAACCATGCTGCCTGATCCTGCTCCGAAAAGCTTGTTCTTAGACACCGAGGTCAGGGAGAGAAGGTGGGGAACACACACACACGCACACACTCACAAAATGCACACTAAGTACGACTTCCAGGGTGGCTAAATTTTTCCAGTTTAGGGAAAGGACACAGTAGAATTCTGCATTTTCTAATTTTCTGCATTTTCTGCAATTTCTGCCTTTTAAGAACATTTTGCAACCAACTGTAAAGCATATTTGACGAAAATTTATGTGAAACCAACACAACAGATTTCTTAATAGCTGGTGCTTTTTATTTGATCAACATTTAAAGTTTTTTTGGAGTCCCATTAGTGTTAAAATCACTAGCATAGAGTCAAATTGGACAAACCCAGACTTCTTAATCAATCTAGACATTTGGAGCTGAAAGGGATAATAGGAACATCTCATTCAGCAACTTAATTTTAGAAGAAACTGAGGCAGAGGGGTGTTGGGTCTGACCTAAGGCCACTTGGCAAGACCAGGACTAGAAGCAACCCGGGCTGCTAGCCCCGGGCTGTGTCTTGGATCCCACGGCTCCGGTCTGGGACATCAAGTTATAGGAAATAGAGTCATTAGTGTCAAAACTCTACAACAGAACAAGAAATTCCATCCCTCATTCTTGAACACGGGGATTAAAGATGTCATTTGAGCATCTCCTCTCTCTCCTGGGCGATTTTTTAGAGAAGATCAGGGCTTCAGTCGGCATGTGACGTCACTGGCCTGAAGCTCAATTTTATTTTAGTGATTTGGTTTTTGTGATAGGTCACCTTCCTGTTAAGAGGCATGCTTTACCCACACCATAATTTCTGCTCAGTTTCCTCTCAAAAGCTTTCCTCTTCTTGAAGAGCAGTATAATAAAAACTGATAAATGAAGTAAATCCATGCAGATTATTTAAAAACCAAAAAACCTTATTCTTACCAACACTGAAGTTTTAGTTTTCTTTCTCCTTAAACCTTCTACACAGCTGTGAAAAGTGAAGGCTAAAGAGTAAAAGGCTGTAAGCAATTCCAGGGTGAAAAAAGCTTGCAGTGCATTAAAGAAACATCTCAAAACAATCCCAAACGGTAACATTTCTAATTCTTGAATTCTGATGAACATAAAGAGTTTTGTTTGCAAAACTTTAAACCTACACCAGGTTGATGCCACACAATATTGGAACATTGTGACATAATTTCTCAGCTCAAATAAGTTAAATTACAAGAGCACCTTTGGGCCGTCCTCCCCTCCCCCCAAAAAGCAAGTGTCCATTAAGTAAATGATTAATGTAGTAAAGGAAATAACTTCAATATTGGGGCACACCATCATGTTTAACTAGCTTTAATCTCCTGCTCCTCCTCCCTCGCCCTCCATTTGAAATATTAAAACTGGCTGGGAGTTCACCTATGCGGTTAATGGTAAGATCTGCTTTATCTTGAGAGCATAGCCTTACTCCATAGACCTCACCTAAGTAAAAGGGGCAAGTGGGCCTATTCAAATGCTAACCCTAGTTGAGCAGAGTGAGACAAAGGGCCAGTTGGGAGACTAGTGATTTAGGAATGCTTGGGGAACGTGCTAGAAATGGCTCTGGAAAAGGCAGCTGAACACCAGTTTCTCAGGCAGAAAGAAGGCTTGATAAGTCTATATAGCAAAATCCTGTCGGTGGGGGGGGGGGCGGGGGCGGCTCATGGGTCCTTTCCTGGGGGTGAGGGGGTTGGTCTTTTGGTCTATCTCTCAGTTGCTTTCTGTGGTCTGCACTGGCTTTTCCACCATTGAATCAGGGTGTAAAGAGGGAAGTTGGGGGAGGGGAATTAAGTGGGGAGGGTGAGTGCCGGTAGGTAACAGGTTTTTCCAATTGGGCTGTAATGCGGATACTGAGGCACTTGTGGAAGACTGTCTGAAAGACTGTGTGTTCCTAGATTGTCCCTCCCTGCTATACGTGAACATGGTGCAATGCTTACAGTTCGGGAAGCCTCCCTGAGTTGGTCTTGGTGTCGGTTCGACACGGAAGGCTTTTGAAAAACTTGTTTATTCATCCTGCAACAAGGCAACATGCTAATTTCTCTAGTGAGTAAACCGAGCTCTGCGGGAAAACGGGTCTCCCAGACCACCCAGTCTGAAGATCGCTCCCACCCTTGAAAGCACACCAAAAAATTCAACATAACCGCTGGCTTCTCTTGCTTGTCCCTAGAAACCTTTTGCTTGGTGAACTCAGGCGACTGAGACATTACCAGACGAAAAACTGAACACTTCATGTCACAGAAAGCAACACACCATCACTGTTTACATTGAGTAGGAATTTCAAGTTAGGGGCAAGCCAAAAGCAGGGCACGCCTAGCCCTTCTGCAGCCTCCAAACTTCGGAGACTAACATGACTGCCGCAGAAAACCACTTGCAAATAAACTGGCTTCTCCGTATTTACTAGGGAAGACCACAAAGACATCCAACCACAGTTCGCGCTGCAGCCCGGCAGAACTGACTCTTGGGCACTGCGACGCCCTTCCTACGGAGTAAGTCCTGGAAGGAAGACCATTTAAGGTATTTTCCTTCTGTCACCATCCTTTTCTTAGGAGTTAAGAACCTGACCGTCATTCATCTCAAACCATCAAATCGCTTTACTTTTCCTCCAAATAATTGTCATCATAATAAGTAAAGCCGGCACAACAGGAGAACGCACACCAGAAAAAAAAAATCAATTTCCAATTCGGATGAGATTTTGTAAAGGCATTTCACATATCAGTCTTTCTCCCCAGGACTGGCGAGGAGAGCACGCCTTCCCCTCCGAAGGTGCGTTACCAGATTACAGCCATTTTTGTGCTGGGTCACCAGGGCAGATTCCCCTCCACGTTACAGATTCTAAACTTAACTCCACCCAAGCTGAAAATGGCCGGAGCACGCCGCCTCCCCTCCCTCAGCCGCCGGCCCCTGCCCGCTTTTCGACTGATTGATGTCCATGGACTGGCGCCGGATCCAACACCTTTCCCCACCTCGGCGGGCGCCGCGCTCTTTGGGGACGAATTGTAAGTTATCGTGATGTTAGACGCGACCCCCTCTCCAGCCTGTCCCTTGTTCCCCTTTACCTTTCCGCTCGCGACCACCTCGAGGGCCTCCCAGGGTCCTGCGCAAACAGCCCGGGACGTCAGCTAAGCTGCATGCAGCCTCGCCACCTGACCAGCTGCGCCAAAAGCTTGCCAATACCCCGACGTGACCATGTCTGTGCGTCCAACCCTCGTAGCCCGTAGAAGCACCCCCAGGGGTCCCCTTACCTCTCCTGCCTTTCCTCCAAGTACTTTCCCCCAACCGCCAGCCGCCCGGAGAGGTCAGCTCAGGCGCGCGGGCAGGTGCGCACGCTCTTTGAGGCGGTCTCTGGGCCCAAGAGCGCCCGGAGACGGGTTGTGGCGGCCAAGCCTGGCGCGCGGCAGCGGGGGGAACTGGCGCGGAGGTCCAGTGGCTTCAAATTGGCAGCGCTGAGACCTGGGCTCCCGGCTTTGAGCTGCTTAGGCGCCGCGCGCGCGGGTGATTTCCCTCCCCGGCTGTCAGTCTCCAGAGTTCTCGCTCAATCCCATTCTGACTACTTTCAGCACATTGCAACAGTGTCCCTATAGCGCAGCTGCTCCCGAATCATGAAAGTTGGCGCGCGCACCTCCCAACCACATTTTGGGCGCCTGCGAAGCCAACTTATTTGAGACTAGTCTTTCTAAGAGGTAGAAAAGCGTGCAAAACAAGTAACTTACCAATGCCTCTTGGGTGGGCAGCTCCAAATCTGGGGCGCGTTCGGGATTCAGTCGCGCAGCCAGTGCGTACCTCAGGTTGTCTCCAGCGGGACGCACCGGGTGCGTCCCGCCGTCCAACAAGCCTTTGGCCACCGAGGCGCTCCTGGCATCCTGGGAAGTTTGGGGGAGCCCTCGCCGCCTCACCCTGACCCGGTGTCCTGGGCTGGCCATCTGAGCCCCTCTCCTCCCGCTCGCCTCTAACCTGCCCTTCCTTCTCACCACCTTTCCGCCCGCCGCTCCCACACCGCCCCCCACCCTGGGCTCCCCAGTTTAGCGGAGGGCAACTAACCTGAATCCATGAAAACAAGGAGAATCTGGACGGCGTCCTCCATTAGTGACGCCGGATGGGGATGGGTCCCTTTTTGGAAGGGGACTCCGGGGACTCCTCACGGCGGGTGGGCTTCTTCTTCGGCTTGCAGCGACGCCGCTGCTTCTTCTCCTCCTTGGGCTCCTCAGACTCTTCGGGGTCCCTCGGATCCTTGTCCTCGGGCTTGAGCTCCTCCCCTTCCCTGGGGCTCTGGGGCTCCTGAGTGCTGGGCTGCGCGCGACTCGGGGAGGCGTCGGGGCTTCGCAACTTCAGGGCGTGCAGACGCTGGGTGAGAGACTGGCTCTCCGCGAGGGACTGGCCGAACGTGGACTGCTTGGGCACCACGGGGCCGCGCTCGTCTTCCGGCTCGGTCTCAGGCTCAGTGGCAGGGGCGGTCTCAGGCTCGGTCTCGAAGTCGGTCTCAGACTCGATTTCGGACTCGGTCTCGCTCTCGGTCTCGTAGTCGAACTCTTCCTCGTACTCTAGGCACTCGGGGAGGGACAGCTCAAGGTCTGCCTCCTCGTGCTCGTGGTCAGATTCCGATTCGGGGGACTCAGGGAATACCTGGGCGCCGGAGCGGTGGTGGGCGTTAAGGAAGCTCCGGCGCTGTTGGGCAGCTGCGCGCTGCTGGGCACGGGCGTTAGAGGTGGCAAGCGCGCGGAGGAGCGCGATGGAGCAGGAGAGCCAGAGGAGCGCGGTGGCTGCCCGGCGGCCTATGGGCGGGCACAGGTCGTTGTAATTTTGGCGAGCTCGGCGCCACTGCTGAGCCCGGGACCTGCGATCCATCCTCTTAGGCGCACACCGAGAAACAGACCTGCCCCCTGGCTCTGCAGAGAGTGGCTCCAAAGTGCATCGGCTGCTGAAGCCGGGAGAGGTACACCCTACGATGTGAGAAGCTGGCCCGGAGGTCCCAGTCTCACCTCCTTGTGAGGAGAAACAGGGAAGACCTACCTTCTTGACCACTTAGGAACTTTCTAAAGCTCCGCGCCTTGCTTGCCTTTCTGAGCAAAAGGGGGGAAAGGTCTGTCTCCTCCCGGGCTTCTCTCGCTGAGTCTTAGGCTCTGCAGTCTAAGACTCAGAGAGGTGCCTCCGCCGGTCCTCTCGCCTGAGAGAGGACAGAGGAGACTGAGGCGAGGAGGGATGGGCGGAGAGGTTCTGCGAAGTTGCGCGCCCGGACTTCTGCCGGGCATGTGCAGTAAGGAGGTGGGGGCTGCCTCCCCGCGAGCTGCGCGGTGGCGCGGAGCCTGTGGCGCAGACCCTAGTGGGCCGGCAGATGGCAGGAGGGAACCTTGTTTGAAAGGATTTAGGCGAAGCGATGGGCGGGGGACCTGGCGGGTGGCGAGGAGCAAGCGGGCAAGCTAGCCCGGGGTCCAGCACTTGGGCAGGTGGGCATCGGCTCCCATGGGGTCGTGCCCCTCCCCGGTTCCTCCAGTTATTGGTGAAATAAACACAGCCCCGGAGCAGCTAAAAACCCAGAACCCCAGATAGCAAATATTAAGGGGAATGAGGGTCTCTACGCAGGTGTTAATGATCCAGCCCCCAGTCTTTTCCTAGGGCTTAATAGTTTGAGGATGGTAATTTCAGGCAGTAATTAATCATGAAACTGCCTTTAGCAGATCTGTTGTAGTGACTGTAATTAGAGAAGTTTCCAAAAAAGACATGCCCAAACAGTCTGAATCGGCTAATCACCTCAACTTTTTCAACAAGGGCCTGCAGGGATGAGGTAGTAGTTTGCAAGTCTGGGAGCCCATCTGAGAACTGCACTGAGCTCTATTTAGCTGAGAAGGTGGTGCTGGAACTCAGGCTGGCGCTGAGAACATGGGTAAAGGGAAGCTTTTCCTCGGCTCTTAGTCCACACAACCACTTTTCTCCTGTGGGGCAGTTCAGGGGTGACACGGAATCCTCCCTGGAGGCCCCTTCCGGCCATTTTGTAGATCGATTTTTAACAAAGGTAACTCTTTCAGCAATACTCATTGGGTGCCTCACACGTGCCAAGCTGTGTTCTAGGTGCTGAAGGTAGAGTAGTGAACAACAACAAAAGTATTGTATGAAGGACAAGACATTTTGGGTTAATTTGCTGTTAATCAGGAGATTGAATCAGTCAGAATCCCTCTGTACCCACCAACATTGTTTAATCTGGCTTGAATTCCACATGAGAAAATGATCGGATCAGGGCTAGGGGGCGGCCAGACACCGCTAGATCGTGTTGTTGAACTCTGCAAAGGCTGAAGGCATGGAATAAATACTGCTGCTCTTTCTTGGGCCTAGAAAATGAAAATCAAATGATGGCCTGCAGGAGAGATCCCTGCAGTGGGAGCTAACCTGGCCACTGCTTTTGGGGTGTGCGTGTCTTCAGACTGGCCCTCCAAGATGATCTTGGAGTGCCCTTTTGGCCACAGTGACAAGTCCAAAGGCCAAACAACTCAAAGCAAAGCCATCATCCTAGAAGCCATGAGAGTATCAAGAAGGTTGTTTTACTTGAGATTCATGTCATGGGTTGGGGTCCTTTTCTCCTTCTTGAGTCAGTATGGGGAATCTTAAAAAAAGATGTTCTCCCACTGGGTGGCCCACCAGGTATTACCCTTCTGGTACTTCTGCCTGGTGTCTGAAGAGTCACTCATGTACCCACAGCCGTTCTCACACCCTCAACTTATCCTCACACCCTCAACACCACACCTGCACTAAAGCTACCGAGTGCAGAGTTCATACCCCAGTGAGAAGCCAGTAGCCACTTTGGATGTGTTGAGGTTTTCCTTTCTGCATCTTGGCTGTGTCTGCCTTGCATCTTGCACTCTGTGTTAGTTTGTAGCATGAAAATAGTGATTGGGCTGGGCACGGTGGCTCTCACCTGTAATCCCAGAACTTTGGGAGGCTAAGGCAGGTGGATCACTTGAGGCAGGGAGTTCAAGACGAGCCTGACCAACATGGTAAAAGCCTGTCAGTACTAAAAATACAAAAATTAGTCAGACATGTTGGCGCGCACCTGTAGTTCTAGCTACTCGGGTGGCTGAGGCACAAGAATTGCTTGAACCTGGGAAGGTGGTCTAATAAAGTGGGAGTGATTTGTCAAACCCCACAAAAGGACAAATGTCTGTGTTCCTGTTGTGCCCTGCTCTGCCACTTTTCCTGAGGAACTGCAAGGGTTTGATTATAGCAAGTGCCTGTGTGGCTGTAGTCATTGTGTGGATATTATGGGACACTGGACAGGGGCATTTAGAGCTGTATATTTCAAATCCTGATCTCTGCCTCTCAGTCCTGACTGACAAGGCACATTTCTAGAGGGTCCGCCTACGCTGACCCACCCACTTTATTTCTTCCAGTTAGCACAGCTCCACCGACAGCATATGGCACAGGAAGATACCGTTCAAGCTGATTTCAGGGCATGTTGGCAAAAAACATCAGGAATATATGGGTGCTAGTAAATGCCCTTTAAATGGAAACTAATGTCAGCTGTCAGCAACGAGGTGGATTATGATTCTTTAGTGTATATAAGAAAGTATCTCATTCTTCAGACGGAGTGCTTTATGCCTGTAAAGGAGATGGCAGCCCAGAACTGATTCACTAATACAGATACACTGAGGTTGCCTGCATTATTTAAAAATGTGCATTACATAATACATATTTTTGGACTAGATTCTGCATTAGCAATGTGCTTTCTTTGCAAGATGCATTTTAATCGGCAGGCATTTAACAAAACACTGCATTTTTGAGTCCCAGTCCTGCATAGTTACGAATACATCTCAGTGTACATTCAACACAGGCTCTGGGAGGAGGAAGCAGGGGACTGCACTGAAATCCATTCCAGCTCACACTTAGTGCCGAGGTCGAGCAAATGGAGCTGTGCAGAATATGCTCTTTAAAATGCAGTACGTGCATGACTTTAAAAAGTGCTTGCTGCAGAGTGAATTTCAAAAAGAAGCAAGTGGGTGATGAACAACCTCTGTTGTTCCCGGACTAAGGAACAAGGGGCTCTCTCCCTCTGCCAGTAAATAAAGTATGGACATATATCACCTCCGGGGCTCTGCTGGAGGGAGGCTCCTAAACCAGTTGGGCAGGAGAGCGCAGTTCCCAGCTCACTACAGTATCATCCAGTAAGCTTCTGATTTGGATGGATTGTGAAGAATATTGTCTTTAACCCCTTAAAGGATTTTCCTGTGGAAGAGGCTTTTAAGATCTATTCTCTGTGGCTCTAGAGGGCAAAATTAGAACCTGTCGGTGGTAGTTGTAGCAGAAAGCCTTCAGTACAACCCAGATAAGAATCTGGCATGGAGCGGGCTGTCAGAAGGTTGTTGGTGCCTTGTCAGAAGCAATGTAGGTTAAAGGACAGGTGATCGGCCCCTGGAGATATTTTTCATGGTGTGAGTGAGTGAGCAGGGTTGGAACTTGGTGCCCACCACAGTCTTAGCAGGTTAGCCTCTGATTCCATTGAAGGCCTCTGGAGGCAGTGGGAGAAAGGTCTTGGGGGCTCTACTGATGGACATGATCTTTTTCCTCCAAAATAGTAAAATACTTTTTACTATTTTGGAAGCATTGAAAGTGTAAGTGGCTCAGTGACAGGAATGTTGAGATGGCAGTTATGTGTTTTTTTGTTTTTTTTGAGACGGAGTCTCACTCTGTCACTAGGCTGGAGTGCAGTGGCATGATCTCAGCTCACTGCAACCTCCGCCTACTGAGTTCAAGCGATTCCCCTGCCTCAGTCCCGAGTAGCTGGGACTACAGGTACACACCACCACACCCAGCTAATTTTTGTTGTTGCTGTTGTATTTTTAGTAGAGATGGGGTTTCACCATGTTGACCAGGATGGTCTCGATCTTGACCTCGTGATCTGCCCGCCTTGGCCTCCCAAAGTGCTGGCATTACAGGCATGAGCCACTGTGCCCAGCCTGGGGTGGCAGTTTTAAGGCATGGCAAACAGATGTGTGCGATGGACCCAGTGGCCTATGGAATAGCTTTCCTCACTAAGGCAGGCTCTTTGTGCCACAACTCACCACTTGTCGAAGCAAATAAATTAATCAAGTCCATCTATTAATTACATTGGTCCTCTTTGCCTCCTTCCCTGGAGCTGTCTTGGAAATTACAAATGAAATTGGCTATTTCATTTGTGAATTGAGCCACTTCTATGATCAAGACACTATTCTAGGCATTGTGGGGAGATCGCAGTAATTGAGGAATTCCTGCCATCCAACAACACACACATTGATGTGAAATGCCCCCAGATATGAAAACTAGGTTGCTGACAGGTGTAGAGTAATACCTTCCAGCCCAGATAGACAGGGAGGGAAGTGACTTTGAGAATTTCTTTTGATTTTTAAAAGCCCATGAGAATTGGTTTCAATCCACTTGTTCCTAACCATGTGTCTACCACATGCAAAGCCATGTGCTGGTGGCTCTGAGAGAGACAGATGAATCATGGCTTCTCAGAAGGCTTGCAGGCTATTGTCATGGGTCCCATAGAGATCAACCCATTTTCCAAGATGAAACTCAATATAATGGATCGGTTCTGCTCTGCCTGGTGAGCGGGTATAATCACTCTTAAAGATATTTTTTGGACAATCATTGGAAAGGACTATTTTTGAAGATGAAGAGCTTTTCAAACTTTCCTTTGGATAGAAATGAATTCAGGGAGTTTGAAGCACTCCCCACCCCTCACTGTGGCAATCAGCCAGTAAGGCTCAACCCCACTGAGAATTTGGCATCGGCCCCTCCCGCCTGTTCCCTAGAGAGGACTGGGTACAATGCAGAAGCATTTGGCTCAGTTCTCTAGGGTGCTTTTTTGCTGTTATTCAGACTGCACTGATATCAATTGGCTCTCACCAGTAAAAATGGTGAAAACCTCGAGCTCCTGATTTTGAGATTTGGGGGGAATGCCATATAGAGCTAAAAGCAAACAATAGGGGAAAATAATCACCTTTTTGACATGACTGGTTTCTGTCCAGGCCATTGTTGGGATTACAATACCGTATTTGTGCCCTTCGTTTTTAAAGGGAGTAGGATCAGAAAGGAGCCTTCGTTTTGTGCGCAGAGATTGCTTGGAGCTGTCTTACCAGGAGCTGCCTTCCTTCCCTCAGTTCGTGCTCTATCGAGCTTCTCCTACAGCGCCTGTCTCCCTCTCTCTCTCCCTCTGCCACGGGAGGAGCAATTTCTAGACTCCTGATCCAACGGGAAGCATCTAGAAGCCCCCTTGCTCAGGCAAAGCATCAGCTTCGGGGTACAGGCCCTCTTGGACGTGG